ACGTCAGCAACTAGTGTTTTGAATTGTTTTCACTGCTTCTCACCAAGGGTCCTCTGCCCCCAGTTTTTCCTTTGTGGTGAACAGTTCGATGCAGTCCTTCAGCTTGAAGAAAGCCTTTTTTTGAGGTTTGTACTCCATGCTCTCGTGCTTGTCACAGTCCTGCTCCCAGAGACACGAGCATATAGTTGTTAGAGTAAAACAGTTCTGAATTAGTTGTCTGAAATGACATGAATTAAAAGAGAACATTTAACTTTGAAAGAAGCCGTTTAAAAGTACAGTTAGAGATAAGTGTTGTCAAGACCTCAACTGTTAATCTCAACAGTACTGCTTAAGGTACTTCAACTATAATATTAATTAATATTTTACTAGGTTTTAAGAGAAAAACCAAAAAGAATTCATGTACATGTAATATAAATTAAACTGTTATAAACACTGTTTCACACCATTATCTAATAATCCTAATCATCATAATCCTAAAACACATTACAATTACATAGCACAATTACAACAACAAAAACAACAACTTGTAAATCTGTAGACTCTTGGTTGCATCACATATGTGGAGCAACTAGAGATGAACTGCAAGCTAGGCTGTCAAAAGCTGTGCAAACTGTGCAAAGTTAAGACACATTGGTTATGTTTGAACCCTTACATGAAAGTGCCATCACAGACTGGTGAAGTGTCCTTTCTACTATCATTACTAGTAGTATAGGTTAACTCCATACAGACAATAAGACTCTTTCTGGCAGTGAAAACAGTTTGCTTTCAGTTTGTAGTCCAAGTTCTTTAGACAGGAGCATATAAGGAGGGTTTGACCGGATGTAGGTAAACAGTAAGTAAACGCAGAATCAGAGATTGAATGTACCCAAATGCAACCTGAAAAGCAAATAAAAAAATTAATAAAATCTGCATTTAAAAACATTAACTAGTGAACAGGAGAGAATGGTTTGGACCAGGTGTTCACCAGTTACACTGTGAGCCCCAAAACACTGGCCAATAGTTTTCCAGATTGATTTTGGAGTAACAAGTAGAAAATAGACCATTTCAATTTCTCCAGCAGCAAGAGCAGAAATGATGGCGCTGGAGCTTGTCCATACCATTACATAATTACCGTTAAATAAATTTAGCCCTGGCACTGTTTAATACAAAGTTATCGTAGCCATCCCTACTCAGTTCCTTTCCCTCAGATTAAAATGCGTGGAGTAAGAGGTAATATTTACAGATTACTTTAATACTTAGATGCGCTTATTCACGGCATCATCTAGTGAGTAGATCTAGAGTTTCAAACCTGTGGGCTCTTGATTAGAAGACATTTGGAATAGTCACCTCGGTTTCCTGCTGCTCTTCTCTGTGCAGTTATCACAACATGATTATGTTCCACACTGCTCAGCGTCTTGCTGCACTACAACAGTTACACGGTGAAAACAGACAATGTCGCAGCTCCCGACATCAGTTTTACCTCAACAACAGTCTCGTCAAAATACTTCTTCTTGATTTCTGGTTCCCAGTCCAAGGAGAGATAAGAGCGGTCTGTAAAAAGATGGGCAGAACGTAAATATGCTGTAATATTTACAGCAGTTAAAATGACTTCAATTATTGATTAATGCTGTGATTACATGATCGAGGAAAACCAAAAAAAAAAAAAAAAAAAAATAACTTTTCTATTTGCCATTTCAATGATGCTAAAACAAAAACAGTAAAGCCCACTTCCTACCACTAAGTCGGAGGTGTCCCTCGTCAAAGCGGATCTGCCTGGTGTCCTCCTTGATGAGTGAGAAGTCAGTTTTTCCCATGTTATTGAACTGGAATGTAAAAAGTCTCTTCCTGCTGTGTCCGGACGTCTGCTGGCCTTTGGTGGAATTCTGTGGGCCGACCACACCGTTCTCAAGCTCATTGTCCCCACCGACAGAGTCCTCCGACTGGCTGTTGTCGTTTTCAGAGGGCAGCTCCTGATCCTGGCTGGACTCGTCGTCCTGCTCATCGGTCTCCATCTCACCTGAAAGACGGCAGTAGAGCTTTTAACAGCAAACACTAAGCAGCACACTTTAAAAAAAAAAAAAAAAAAAAAAAAAAAAGGCATTTCAAAAGGTCAGAACTTTACAAGAAAACTGTGTTGGTGCACTTACTCGGTGACCCCTCCTCCAACAGTCCATTAGTGGCATTACCATTAACAGTGTGTTGTTTAGATGGCTGTGTCTCTTCACAGTCGTCCTCTTCTTCCTCTACAGAAGATCGCACAAACCGACTGCAAACACAAAACCACTTTTTATTCCAAGCACAAGTTTTTGTTTTTATTTTCTACTTCTAAATTTCACAGCGTTGATTATCTGCAAAAAGAGCCTGTCGATTTTTGCTGACTTACCAGAGGCGCTGGAGCAGCATGTTGTAGAGCTTGTCTTCACTGAGGGTTCTGGGGACGGCGATGAGGAAGGGTTGTCCAAACAGCGGCGTGCTCGTGTGGTTATATCCTGACTGCTTGTACTTTTCTCTCAAGTGCACTGGGATCACTACGTGGTCTGTGTCCTCCACTCTGTTCACCGCCACCTCAAAGCTGCAGAGAGACATGTGGTGAATCCTTTAGAGTCACGCTGGTTAAGCAAGATGTCGACAAACCAATGAAAAGTGAAACTCAGCATCCTAGTGTAAAAAAAACAAAACAAAAAACCTACGTTTTTGAAAATGGCACATGCCTGCAGTTTGTTATATCTACATAATCTGCAGACGTGTTGTCTGTCAGCTGCTCATATCTGACACTCACACATAAATATCATCTCTCTCCATAATGCTGCTGAGGTTTTCATTGGTGGCGAAGATCCGGTGGAAACGGTGGTTATAGATGTCAGTTACAATCATCTGAAGGATAAGAGACGGGAGAGTCAGTGCTGAGAATCCTAATTATGGCCAGCAATTAAATTAATCTGCCAACACATCTTAAAAAGCCATTTAGTAGATTGGTAAAACGAGCTTAAGATGACGGGCAACATAACTTCAAATCATGAGAAAAAACTTTTTAGAACTTAATTAACCAGCCTGTATTTGAAATGATCTTTTTCATAGTTTAAATTCTTTCATAGTCCTCTCAACCTCTGCAAAAAAAAAAAAAAGCACCTTTCTTTTGTATCTGCACTGCAGGAACTAGGGATACTTCCAAAGCCCTGTTTCTGGGGTTTGTTTTACTAGTACTTCAGGATGGCGCAGGCTTTGAGTGACAGTAGGATACACTGCTGTAAATGCAACCCGGATCTGAAAGACCAGGCTTAATTAAGCCTATATGGAGGAAATACAATGTGATTTTTGACTCATTTGACTCATTTCCCTTGCGTGTTATCTCACTTTGTGACCTTGACGAACCACACAGAGAGAAGTCATGTAGGGAAAAAAAATGAATAACCTAAAACAGACCTACAAGAAAATAAAGACCACACTGATTAGTGTGGCAGCTTTGCTATTCTGTCTGTGCAACATGTACTGTAACAGCATAATAGCAGGTTCATACATATTGAATTCCAGTTCCCTTGGTCTCTAGTTATCCTTTGTGTCCCTGTTCCTCACCTCTCCCTTTATCTGAAAAATATGCAACATTTCCCCTCACTAGCTTCTGTAGCTCAGAGGACAACGTCTATTAAAAAGTAGATGTCAGCATTACAACATGATAACAGAGGCAGGATTCCTGCGCAGGCTGATGCTAAATATTCTACCTTTTCAGCAGGCACGCCTGACAGGTTGGACAGGGAGGTACACAGGTCAGAAATGTAGCCCACTTTCGGCACAGTTAGTTTGTACTGAGGGGAAAAAAAACAAAAACATGATTACTGCCTGCTGTTCATACATGAAATGGCATGATACTGCTTACAGTAGTCATTTTTTTCCCCTCTCTGTGCTCAGCTTGTTACCTGTGTGGGTTTGGCCAGAGGGTCCAGTCTGACTAAATAAACTTCTAGTGTCCGTTCCTTCTTCATGGGCAGTGGCAGGGTCAAGTAGCAGAAAGGATCAAAGGTCACAGAGACCTTCGAGCACACAGGACACACCAGAGTCGACTTGAAAAGACCGTGGAAGATGTCCACAATAATGGAGTCATTTCTCTTAATGTGGTTCTCCCACGCCTCCTCTGCCACAACCTGGCATAAAAAACAAAAACAAAAAACAGGTATACACAAAAATTTAATAAAATGTAACTAAATAAATAAAATAAATCTTTTTTTTCTTTTTTTACTTTTATCAATCCATTCATGAACCGCTGGTCTCACCTTATCAGGCCGACCATTTGCATCCTTGAGCTGAATGTAGGGCTTCTTTCTGATGCGGTTCAAGTCCTCATGTAGGCCATCCAAAAGGAAAGCCAGAAGCTCATGAGAGTCCTGCTGCTGGTAGCCCGAGAACTGGGGAGCAAAGCGGCCCACCTGGGTCTGGATGAGTGGGGAGGGGAGAAAAAAAACAAACATACTTTTTGGAAAAAACACATGGGTAGAGGAGCAAAATCAAGTCGGCCTCATCATAATACATCACACTGAGTAACCGGTTTCTTTCAAAATAATATAAGATGTCCATGTTCTCTATTCTGTAGCCCATAGGTCTTAAACTGAAATGGTTTTAACCTTTATACGCTCAGAAATAAGATTAAGACTAGCTGTTGCAATTAGCTAATAAAAATATGAAAAAGGCATAGTTAAAAACACCAACATTTTATCACTATTAAATCAACATTCCCAGAAGCAATTTCAAAATCTTTAACTTCATACAAAGTGCTGTTTCTATTTTGCTTGTAGATTAATTACTTCATCTGAGTGAGAAAAATCTAGTCTGTTTTGGGCCTGAACAAGTGCATTAAAGTCACGGTTAGTGTATATGAGGTCTAAATGTGACTAACTGAGGAGCTGTACCTGGATGTTAAACTTCGTCAAATTTCAATTTCGATAAACTTCAATTCAAAGAGAACTTACATCTTTGAGCATGTCTCCTTATCTGTAGAAAGTCTGCGACTCTGATGAAGTTATTAAAACTGTTTATACTAGAAAACTATTTTAATTAACAACAACATGGTTCATTTTCAGCACTGGCTTACACAACAGCTCCTGGTGTTTAACACAATGCAGAAGTACCACTTTCAATCACTTTAACTTAAATCTGACATTTGTCCTTGTCAAATTTCGACAGTGAACAAATCCCTGTCTGTCTGTCTCTTTCACTGAGTGCACTGCTGCCAGCTCAAAGTCTTTCGTTATCTCACTTACAAACATAATAACTCTGTTGTGTTGCAGCTCTCATCCAGAGCCAAGGAGAAAAACTCAAAATTGTCTGCTGTGATTTCAACTGAAGTTCAAGGTTTCCTACAAAGTCTTTGATCCATCTTGTCACAATTCACCTGGAAAGGGGCACATTCTCAAATACTTCTTTTTCTCAGAGGGCACATCAACTCAATTGTTTGTTCCCACTCTGCATTACTCAAATTCTTGTATTTCTCAATCCAAATTGCAGTAAATAAATGAATGTTGTTTAAAATTCTTCACTCTGGATCAATATTTTTAATTGTTAGTTGACAGCTTCCAGGCTAGCAAACTCAAATCTTTCATAGACATTGATCAATATTCACATTTGCTTACTTGCACCATCAAAATTTCAGGATAAACACACTCACCTTAATAAAACACTCAAATTAAAGTGCAAGTGACAAATTTTCATTTCCCACAAACTACAAAAACAAAAAAACAACAACAAACACAAAAAAAGCTATTCTCTTATGGGGAATATTTGGTGGCTAAAAGAGAGAAAAATGATTTTTTAACTATGTTTTAATGTCCCATCGACCTCACAGGGCCTACCAATGGACTGGATGTGGCCGGCGGCCATACAATGTCCATGTCTGTTTATGCATTTCATTGGGGAGTGCCATCATGAGATTATTAGCTCCTACAGATTGATGCAAGCCTTCATCTGTCCAACATCGATCAAAAATAGTTTTTTAACACATGTGAAGATTCAAAGATGAAGGTTCCTTCACACATTTAATATATTTTTTCCAAGGAATTACCTTGAAAGGCCTCGGGGTGACGTAGCTGTATTTGCCTGACCACAGCTGTTTAATAAGCTCCGCGTAGGCTTTGGCAATCTCCCCCTTCATGCCCAGTGGATTGTCCTCATTCAGCTCATCTGTGTACTTGTCTTTGAGGAAGTACTCCGTCAGCGGAGGGGTATTGCTTAAACACTAAAACGCAAAAACAGGAGAGAAAAATATCTTTCAAATTAACTGGATTTTTTTTTTTTTGAAGTTTTCTCTGTAGAATTTCGAGTAAACATTGGCGTGCTAATTAGCATAGTTCCAGACTCTAAAGAGCTCCATGAAAAGATTACCTGCACAGCAGAGTTCATGAAACAGGTGTTGCCCAGGTTTGAGAGTCCACACAAGCCTGAGCGCTCGCTCTGCCTGCTCTGGTCCGAGTAGTCATAACTGTTGCTGTAAGGGTGGTAGGATGGTAGACTATAGCTCGAATTCTTCACACTGTACAATCAACATACAGACATTGAGAGATTAAACAGGGTCGTTTGTGGAAAGTCATGAACACTGATGAACAGAGAAATCTAATACTAACAGACAACATCTACACTAAATCAAATTAAAGTTTTTAACAAACAACAAAACTTTACAAAGACTAGAAGGTACACAGCTTCACTATTTCATCCCCTCTCTTTACAGCTTCCTAGACAATTATTAAGAGCCTTAAGATAGGCCTGCCCAGCTGCAGCAATCAGCAGACCTCTGGGAGCTCGATAAAGCAGCGTTGGCCGTTTCTGGCTCCCACTGGTCAAGGGAAACTGCTGCGATGGCGGTGGAGGCAGTTGCCTCGCAGTTCAACACTCGGTGGTCGACCCTCCTGCCATCCAGCTCCACCGCCTCAGGCCTCAGGCACCACCAGCAACACAGGAGCATGACATCTCAGCCCCACCCCGGCCCTTGATGGCCTGCATGTCCGCACAAAACTAGACAGCCAGCAGCTTCGATGGGGTTTTCTTGGGTCCCTTGTATGAAAAGTTTGGGTATCTGAGATCAGAAAGGACGGTCCGGCTCCAGTTTTGACTGTTGAGTCTTAGTCTTAACTCAGTTCAAGCCAATCCAGCTCCAGAAGCAGTTTGAATAGTCCAGGTGAAGTTTAGGCCTGAATCTGATTCCAAGTCCAGCACAGGCCAACCTTTAAAACTGTACAATTCAGTGCACACGAAAGCACACATTCTGGTCTGTCTTAGAGTTAACTGGTCAGCTCCCCTCTCCTCATTTCTCCCAGTCTTCTTGTTCGGGCTCAATCGCCTGTCATCTCATTATCCTCTCTGCTTCAATTCGTTTCCCCCCCCGTCCTATGCCGTCCTGTCCTCTGCTCCTCCCTCTGGCCTGCCTGCTGCTCTCTGCTGCTCTACGGCTACCAGCAGATATTTATAGCAGCAGCAACAGCAGCAGCAGCAAGGATGCTCAAGACTGCTGCTGCTGGAGGTAGAGGTGCACAGAGAAAGAGGGAGGGCGGGAGAAGCAAAGAGAATGGGGGGGAGGGGCGGACAGTACAAGGGGGGAGAGGATGACAGAAGAGAAATGAGATGGGGATGGAGGAAGCAGCTGATCCACTGCATCCAGCTGAGGCTGCAGTATTCACAGGACCAACTCACATTTACAGAGAGGAGTCGAGACATACATACAAAGACACATTAACACAATCATGCCAGCACGTAATTTATCCCATTTTCTCACACTAGCATGCATATATCACTGTTCTCACTTTACTCTGCACACTAGCACAAATTCCTGCTCTTTTTTTCCTTCTTTTGCTGGTAAAACACAACCTCTGACACTCTGGACTAAGTAAATCACACTTTGACACACCCTTCTTTCATCCTCTTTAATATGTCATTGCTGTCTCCATGAGAGGTTTGAAAGGGGATGATCTAAATAAATAAACTCCAACCCAGAGAAAGAAGTGGTTTTTTAATCATCAGGGGCAGTATGTGTGTACAGGCAGGCGATGAGAAGGTGAGAAGTGGGAACAGATGAAACGTATTCTGAAGGTCACTCAGACTGCAGAACATGTGCATCGCAATGAGCTCGGAGGAAAGGAGAGGTAAAGGGATCAAAAGACACAGAGGGAGAGAGTGAGTGTGTGAGAGGAGCAGAGACTGGCTGCCAGAATCAGGGGACGCTACCTCGCAGGACGGTGACACTTAATGCAGTTGCAGAGCATCACTTGCTGAGGCTAAACCGACCAGGCCGAAACCACAGAATCAAAAAGACAAGGGTTATGTAATATGGGTACACTTCATATGAAAGGGGAAAAATTAATTAAAAAAAAAAAAAAATCCCTATGTATAATTCAGAGAGAGAAAAAATGACAGCGCTGCTACCAGAGTGAATCAGGGACAGGAGAGCTGCTGAGAGTAAAGATCCAATTTCCCCAAGTCACCCACTCTGTGCATTCAACAATCCATCGACTGTGCAGAAAAAGATGCATCGGCTGTGGCAAAAATGTGCAACTATGCTTCAAGTACAAGTCAGACGTGCGAGCTGAAAAAATGTCTGAGAAAGTATTTTATTGTGATACTTTTACGAATTCAAAGAAAGGCTCGGTTGATTTTAACACCTTCATTCTTTGTCAATATTGATTTTTAAGGTGGCCAAGCCTGTGACTACCATTTCTGCATTTCAACAGTACTGAGAAATGTGATGCACAATGTCTATTATCTACCACGCGCAGGCACACACACACACACACACACACACACACACACACACACACACTCCAGCATGCAGTAAATCACACGCATTACATGAAGGGAGGGAACAGTGAACAGTGTCCACTGGACAGCAAAGGCAGTAAGCTCCACCCACAGAGTGTATGTGTATCTTTTGGACATGGCTGAGAGAGCCTCTGGGTCAAACAATACACAACAAACAATGTATTTAGGCAAGAGTTCAATATTCTCAACACGTAGGCTAGCAGTAGAGCTGCATGACTGGGCATAAACTGAATTTCTTTTTGGAGAGTAATGCAGTCACTTGTTAACCAAGTTGCATTTTACACTGGGACACAAAGAAAACAAGACTATAATTTTCCATTGTGTCAAAAGCACAGAAACTGCTTTCTGTTAAACTGCCGTCACAGATTGCAGAGCATTACACAAAAAAAAAAAAGACTTAAGAGGGCAGTATATGCTGGAATTTAAATTTAGGGTACAAGGCTAGTCTAAATGTAAGAAACTGCTCTGTTTGGCTAACATTAGCACAGCTAATCATTCAGTTACAGGTTGGCTTGAATGGGTATGACAAGACAATGCTCCTGGCATGTGGAGGGTGGAGTGCTAATTATTCTACAGCCACCAGGCAGTAGTACCCTGTAGCTGTAGCATAATCAGCTTAACATAGTAGTATTTCTGGCGCCATTTCCCAGGTTAGCTACAATGGCATTGCAAGCTGACTTATGTCATTTATTTATTTTGATTTTTTTTTTTAACTAAATGCAGAAAGGAAGATCCAAAGTTATGAAAAAGCAGATTCCACCCAAATTCAATTGCCTGATGAGTCAGACAGTTTTTGGCAACTGCGGTCTATGCTTCAGGAAATGAAGACTGATGAAATGAGCAGTCATGTCAGTTTTAGCAAACAAATGCAAAGATTCTGTCCAAGTCTCTGTGAAGTTTGTGGATATGGGCATAGTTTTAATAAGAGGCCACATGCAGACTCCCCTCAGGACTATCAGCCACAAAGAGGCTGCAGGTATTAGAAAGACATTTAAAATAGGAAGTCTAGTCTGCATTACAGATTTATAAATCTTATCAATCACTGAACCCTAGAGTCAGTTATTCCTACTGGAAACTTTATGGTCTTGTACATTATGTGGGAACAGGAGAAAAATCCTCTGACATTACCAGCTAATCTACTAGGAACATGAACTTGAAAGTAACTGACTGACAGCATGCTGTCGTGTTGTATTTAAACAAATGTTCAAGGTTTAAGTTTTTAATTTTCCTGAAAGACATATTTAGATGTAGTCTGGTGTTAAATCAAATAACATACAGAAGCAAAACCTCGTGGAATGTTGCTAGATGAAATAACCACCACATTAGCCCAAATCATGCAACCACAGCTAGCCAGTGCCATCATCAATTGGAAAATAGATTTGCAAATTTGAGTAATATAATCAGAAGCTGAGTAAGGCACCCAGAGGCTTTGTTGTTAATAGAAAGAGAGTCTACTGTCACTGAAGAAATTCTAAGAGATCAGTCCAACGCAAGCGCCCTTCCCCCCTCTTTTCTATCAGCTCTTACAGCTGAAAATGCATCATCAGGAGATTTAGAACACCCAAATTACAACCAGAGATAGACCTGTACAAAACAGAGTTAGATGAATTTCATAGTGAGAAGCTACAAACAGCTTCAGTAATGGAATTATGGAATGAGTCTAAACAGAACTGATAAAACAGTCAAGAAAAAGTTTACATAAGTTAAAAGCAACAAATTTTTAAGCCAATTCCTTCCAGCATTCTGGCGACTTCAGCGTGAAGTTCTGTCCTGAACTCCAGGCTGCACATCAGGCTCCATCTCTGGCTGTTCCCATCCAAACCCACCCCTCTGCTATTCAACCCACAACTATGCCTTACTTCCTGCTGTTGAAGCTGCTGTTATGATTGTTTGTGAGAGATGAAGGCGAGATCTTTGGCAAAGCAGAGAGATTGGAAGCACCAGATGACCTTCAAAAGATAAAGAATAGATCATGAATTAGAGTGGAAAATAAGGAGCTGTTCCAGAAAGCTGAGTGCCGATCAAATTAAACAGCGATGAAACAAAATAAACGGAGTGATATGTCAGTAGGGATGGGTACCGGTGTCCGGTGCGTTCTGACATAAACGGTAGTAACCAGACCGAAAAGCAGCGCACATTTCGGTGCTTTATTTTCCTGAGCTGTGATACACTTCTAGCCAATCATTTTAC